CAGGGGTAGCAGGGAGGCGGACAGGAAGTGCAGGGCTGGACAGTCTGCCTACGCACGTGTCCCACCAGCCCCGGGTCTGGTTCTCGATGAGTTGCCTGCAAGGCCCTAAAAGGAACCCTTCACATTTGCGGGTCACAAGGGCGTGTTGAACAGCTCAATTTTCATTGTCAGCTAGCGTCAAATAGACACTGAAAGAAATAAGTAACACGCTAGGGAAAAGCATCTGATTCTGCATCTATCGATCTGATGCAGAATCAGAAACTCCTGGCAGCGGCGTGCTCCCGCGCAGTCCCTGAGGCAACTTTTCAAGCTTGCTTTTGTTGTCTTACGATAAACGGGATTATCATAGAGGCTCCTCCACACGTTGATGTCTTTTGTTCTTTGAGGAGGGAGGAAGTGAAACTTCTCACCAGTGAGCACAGCTAGCACACACACACGTCACTGTGAGGCCACAAGGGCCCCCATAGGCCGCTGAGCACCATGCTGGTGGTTGCAAAGCCAGCCTCTACCCTACAGACTGCACACGCCACCCGCCAACAAGAGAACAGAGTCAGAACAACTAAGCCACGACCCTGGGCCCTTGCTGGGCACTGCAGTCTCAAGGGAGGAGGCGATGTCTTCAAGCTTAGTGATGCAGCAAATTCCAGCAAGTGCCCTGGCTGTGACGTCCATTGTCCAAAGCCAGAGAAATAGAAAACCTACCCCAGGTTCCAAACTGCATAGTTACAAGTGCCAGATTCTGTTACAGGCTGATTGCTTCAAAAAATATGCTATGACATTGTTTTCAAATCAAGCCCTCTCTGGGATTTGCAATTCTGATAAGAACCAGCTCCCTAAACTCCAGAGTCCAAGGATCTGCCCACAGCTCTGTGGTCTGTCCTCCCGAGCCCTGCCTTGTTCAAGCTCCCCTTCCCACAACGTAATGCACCATTTGCCCCTTTAATTCTGTCCTCCATGCAGCCAGCCATGACCTTTCTGTCTTTGAAGTCTGCCCATGCAACCGACCTTCACTGCATTCAACACCTCCTCCTCCACTGGATAGCTACGCCCAGAGCTTCCCTCCATCACTGCATTCGACACCTCCTCCTCCACTGGATGGCTACGCCCAGAGCCTACCCCCATCACTGCATTCGACACCTCCTCCTCAACTGGGTGGGACCATGTTATCTCGTCTGTGCTCATTTATTCTTAATTCAGTCAATAATTCTTCATGAATATTCTACTTTGTGTCTGGTTCTGCTCTAGATACAAGTGGTAGAATAATGAATATAAGACACAAAAGTCCCTGCCCTCGTAGAGCTTGCTTTACAGTGGCAGAGAGAGAAAAATTTAAAACTAATGAATGATGGCACAGAAGATGGCAGAGCAGGAAGCTCCCCGAATCCACCTCTGCCTAAAGGATGACTGGACTGGCAGGAACTGTCTGAAGCTACCGTGTGAGCTCCCTGTGGCTGCTGTCACAAAGCCTCATGAGCTGCGTACTGAAAACAACAGGACTTCATCGCCGTACAGGCAAGAGTCTGAAGCCAGGTGTCGGCCTGGCCGTGCTCTCTGATGGCTCTGGGGGGGTCTTTCCTTGCCCCTCTGGTGTCTGCGGCCATCCTGGCCATCCTTGGCTTGTGGGAGCCTCGCTCCAGCCACAAGGGAACCTTCCCCGTGCCTGTGTGTGTCTGTGCCAAAACTTCCCCTTTTCGTAAGGATATCAGTCATATTGGATTAGGGCTCTCACCTTAGTGACCCCATTTAAACTTGATTACCTCTGTAAAGGCCCTATGTTCATATAAGGTTACATTCCAAAGTACCTGGGGTGAGGACCTCAGTATGTTTTGGGGAGACAATTCAATTCAAAACAGTAACTATTTTGGAAGTCTGGAGTGTAGTCAAACACTTTCGGCAACCAGGGGAAAGACTGATAAAAAGGGTTTTGGTGAATTTTGGCTTTTTTTTTAGTGGTTATCATTCCCCATCTCTCATCCTGTGGCAGGAAGCTGTGGGGATGGCAGCTCCTGTTTAGGATGTGACTTGCCGATATCAGAGCAGGCAATAACGCCCTTGTCCTCCAAAAGCTGAGGTTGTGTATGTTGACTGCTGGCCACTGTTTTGATCACTGGCCATTGTTTCAACCTCCAAGTGATGAAGCAACTTCCAGGAAATTTAAAGTGGCAGTAATTATTTCTGTACACACACACACCTAACACACACACCCCTAACACACACACACACACACACACACATTTTTGGGGAGCCGGAAACTTAAGGAAATCTTTGTCAGTCTACTAGTTAACTGTAGAGATAATAGGAGAAAAACTTCAATGACCATACACTTTTCAAAAACGTTTGGAAAAGTCACAAATGGATGACTCCAGCACTCAACGAGAAAGGCTCAGCAACATCTGAGGAATGGGAGAATTAGATTTCTAGCATTACCACAATATAACACTCAAAATGACAGCTCTCAACAAAGAAGATTACACAACATACAAACAAACAGGAAAGTGTGGTCCATTCACAGAAAAAAAAAAAAAAAAGAAATCATCCTGGAAGAAGTCTAGGCATTAGAATTATTAGTCAAAGATGTTAATTCAGCTGTCTTAAAGAAGTTCAATAACTACAGGAAACCATGGGCAAAGAGTTAAAGGAAATCAAGAAAATGATGTACAGACAGAATTTAAATATCACTAAAGAGGTAGAAATTATGAAGAGGAATCAAATAGAAATTCTGGACCTGAAAGTATAATAACTTGAATGAAAACCTCACTACAAGACTTCAACAGCAGAATTGAGGAAGCCGAAGAAAGGATCAGTGAACTTGAAGACATGACATTTGAAATTATCAGGGCTTATCTAGAATATTTAAATTCATAAGAGACAGAAAGTAAGATGGTGGTTGCCAAGGCCTTGGGGGAAGAAGGAATGGGGAATTATTTTTAATGGGTACAGGGCAAAACTAAAGTTTTGCAAGGAAAAGAGCTCTGGAAATGAACAGTGGTGATAGTTGTACAATAATGTAAATGTACTTAATGCTACTAAACTGTACACTTAAAAATGGTTATGATGGTGAATTTTATGTTAATGTGTTTTACCACAATTTGAAAAGTAAAAAAAATTTAAAATGTCAAAAAAGAAATTATTAGGTCTGAGGACCAGAAAGTAAAAGAAAAAATAAACAGAGCCCAAAGGACCTGGGGGACACCATCAAATCTACCAA